CATTGGCTAATGCTCTTCCTTCTTCTGATCCAAGATAATTATTTTGAAGATTCAAAGAAGTCAGCGTAGTGTTCATGCAAAGTGCGTTGGCTAATGCTTTTCCTCCTTCTAACCTAAGATTATTATAACTAATATTCAAAGAAGTCAGAGTAGTGTTCTTGCAAAGTGCATCTGCTAATGCTTTTCCTCCTTCAGATCCAAGACCATTGTATCGAAGATTCAAAAAAGTCAGTGAAATATTCTTGACAAGTGCATTGGCTAATGCTTTTCCTTCTTCTGATCCAAGATTATTGTTTTGAAGATTCAAAGAAGTCAGTGTAGTGTTCTTGCAAAGTGCATCGGCTAATGCCTTTACTCCTTCTGGTCCAAGATTATTGTTTTGAAGATTCAAAGAAGTCAGTGTAGTGTTCTTACAAAGTGCATCGGCTAATGCTTTTCCTCCACTTGATTCAAGATTATTATAACTAATATTTAAAGAAGTCAGTGTAACGTTCTTGCAAAGTGCATCGGCTAATGCTTTTACACCTTCTGATCCAAGATTATTATTACTAATATTTAAAGAAGTCAATATAGTGTTCTTACAAAGTACATCAGCTAATACTTTTCCACCTTCTGATCTAAGATTATTATAACTAATATTTAAAGAAGTTAGCGTGGTATTCTTGAAAAGTGCATCTGCAAACGTTGTTGTATCAATCGTAGCGTTAAATTCTAAATATTTAAGTTTTTTACTTGCTCGCAGAAACATTAGGACTAAAGAGTATTTGATGACATTTACAAGTTTATATTTTTCGAAACCATATCCTTTATTTTTAATCCAATTGTTGACACCATCATTGAAATGAGAACCAACAGAAGTAGTATAACTTTCGTATTCAAATAATGGCCTTGAATAATTTGGAAGAATAATGTTAAAGGGGATCAATAAAGCTTGCTCTTCAGTATTTAGAGCTAAAAGGTATATTTTTATAAGTCTTTTATTACTGAAATAATTTGTGGGTTCACTCCATAATATTGGTGTAATAACTCTACACCATTGACGGTTTACAAGAAGGCATGAAAATAGGGTTTTATAATCAGTTCGAAAATTATTAAAAATTTCGACAAGACATTCATTCGGTAATATTATCATTTTGAATTTGGTATAAAGTCAAGAAGTCGGATTTTGCTTCCGGTATATAACCTATGTTAAAATGTTGTGAAACTTTATCAATTATAGCTGTTTCTCAAAAAGGTAGAATAATAATACAAATGGTGCACCAGTTTTCACCAATCACCAATCAACATTGGTGATACTGGTGATACTAAAAATGGTGAAGCTGATTAATACGTACTGGTGATACTGGTGATACTGGTGATGCAACTAAATAAAAATCGCCCACTCTATACTCTGGTTATAACAAACAAAACAGGTAAGCACATTCAATGTTTTTATCTGTTTGATAAATGGAGATTCTGTATAGCCGTAGAGTAAGACGATTTTATCTAATTACATTACCAGTATCACCAGTTTTACCAGTACATTAGTCACCAGTTTTACTAATATCACCAGTTTCAACAGTACACCAGTTTCACCAAATCACCAGTTTTAGCTATCAAGTTGCACCATAGTTTCACCGCAACTCTAGTTTACACCTTTTTGAAACAGGTGTAAAAAAGAAATTGTCTGTATCAAGAACTTGAAGCATAAAAAACTCTTGTTTTGCTGATTTTTTACCAATCAGATGAATTGAAAATTATTAAATTTTTGACGATATCCGATATTTGGAGTTTCGCTAAGCTAATCATTTACTCCAAATTTTTTTAACGTACATACATACCTATCATATCTATACGGTAATGTCAAACACAATTTTACTAAAATTTGCAAATACAGTAAGCTACATTGTACGTATCCAAATAAAACTGGGTTTATCATAAGTAATCAGTTTTGCGTATGAAAATTAGATACAAAATTTTTATTTCCGACATTTTGAATATAAATAAAGTCACATGACGTAATTGATGCTGCAATCTGAAAAAAGAGCCGAAATCTAAAATATGTTATGTAGTCAATTTGTATTATCATAAATTAATCTTTGTTGACAAATTTTACTTCTAAAAGGTCACCATAATCATGCCCATTTCACAATATTGTGTGATCAAGAAAATTTGAAACTTTTTCATAGAACGACATTCGTCTAATTTACTGATATAAAACAATTGCTTTATTTATACTCTCTAAAGTAGTTTTTAAAAGCATAATGTTGAAGAACTTAGTGTTTACCATTTGCTTTGGCTAAGTAACGAGTCGATAATGTATATGGTGCTCCAAGTCACTTCTCATCAAAAATTATATATTTTTTAAAAAATCTATAAAATAAATATTTTTTAAAAATATAACCGATAAAAACCATTGTCTTTCATTAGTTCTATCCGAATTATCAGTTAAAATTTTTAAAAAGTTTGAAGCTACTATGTTTTCAAATTTTTGGCATTTAATATAAAAAATTTCAAAAAAAATTTTTTGATTCTTTTTTATCCAATCAGAATTAGTATATAATGCATTCTGATTGGCTAAAAAGCATTTATATAGACCCAAATTTGGCGCATTTGATGTGAAGTGACTTAATAGAAATTGTTTCGTTAATTATGTGGTGATGCATCTTTAATAAAGGTTGCAATGACTGAAAATAGAAATAGAATGACTTTTTCAAAATATAATAATGAAATAATTTAATATTTTTTATGGATTTGATTTGTCAATAGAAAATGTTTGGAAGCATGGAAAAATTCTCGTATACAGTCAACCCCCTCTATAGTCACCTCATCTATAGTCACAAAATTAATATAATTACAAACTTATTTTTACCAATTATTTATAATTATATAGAAAATACCTTTATATTAGTCACACCTCTTTATAATAACGGTTTTTTTGTATCCCAAAGGTGTGATTATAGAGGTGTTTGACTGTATTAGGATATATTTACTTGAATATATTTGGATTTATTTGGATTTAAATTTTCCATGTTCATGCCTCTGGTTACAAATATTTGAAGTCAAAAAAAAAAACTCATGCAAAATTAATCACAATTATTTCATCATTAATTAGAATAATTTTAATTGATTGTGATTGTATATGTTGTAAGTGGAAACGGAATTTAAGTGGATTCGGAATTTATATATAAAACCCCGTTTTTGGGGTTGATTTTATCATATGTACACCATAACCCTTACCCTAATTTAACTAGGAAATTCCAAATCCACTTAAATTCCATTCCCACTTACAATATTGTTAAATACTATAGAAACATTGCACCAAACAATGAAAATATTAAAATTTTCCCATATATATAGAATGTTTATTTTCTTGTTCGATAAATTTCTACAATAAACTAAACAAAAGAATGCCTTTATCCCTAAATAATTCAAAACAGGTTTTAACAATATCTAAGTAAAAATAGTAACAGTCTATTGAATAGGAGGAAAAGCCGATGACTTACTTGGACAAATTGGAATTATTTCTAATTATTAGTCAAGCTATTCATGTTCAAGATTATTGAGTATTTTTTGTATAGCTATACATTCTTTATATTCTCTTTCACATGCATCATCATTGTCTCTTATATAGTTTGAAGTTCCAAATTCCGGAATTACGAACCATTTGACTTTAGAATTTTTGAAAACAATTGTATGTTTGTCATAAGAAATTTCTATATCTTCTTTTTTATATTGGTTACTATTTTTTTGGTTATCCTTATCTTTTGTCTTATCCTTAAATGCTCTATGCGAATAAACAAAATATTGAAAATAACCCATTTCAAGCACATTTGCATAAACTTTTGCATTGTTTTCAGAAAGATGTTTAGCTATAATTTTCGTTCCTGGTACATTTAACTCATTATCAACGATATTGTAATATCTATCAAATATATGCGTTATACCTACAGGATTTTTAAATTTTTCAAAGATAATTTCTTCAAAAGTATTATTGTAGATATTTTCATCGATTTTTTGTATGTTATCATTATGATTTTGTATCGGTATGTTATGATTTCCTGTTGTAGGATCACCCGTGATCTGAATGTCATCGATTTTTAGATTTCCTTTTGTAGGATCACCCGTGATCTGAGTTTCATCAATTTCTTTACCATCAATGGTTTTAATTTGTATAAAATGATTTTCTTTTGTGTTAATGTTAATTCTAGTATGACCTTCTCTTTGGAACGTACACGTACCATCTTTGCATTTTGCAGAAATGTTTGATTTTATTATTTTGTTGATAATACTATCATGAAATAATTCGTGATAGCATCTTTTTTTTCTTCCACCAAGTTTTTCAGTCAATTGCTTATATATATCTTTGACAGCTTTGTACTCCTTATATCGATAAAAATTTTGAAGATTTTCAACATATTTTTGCATCTTTTCATCGTTATCATTAACCTGCACATAAAGTCTTTGATGACCCAAATAATCAGAAATTTTATCTTTTTGAAGAATCCGCAAAAAAACAAATTTATAAGTTCCTTTTTTTAGGTCAAGGTTTTTAATCCCATAGTGTTCAATATCTTTAACTCTAATGTCTTTAAAATTGTCATTAGAAAAGAATGAAGAGATTGAACGGGTTAAAATAGTGGTTAAAACAAAAAAGAAAATACTATCGGCACCTTTAGGGGTGCAATATAAAGCATATTCAAAGTAGACTTGTATGATAGAAATAAAAATAATAAAGAATGCAACTTTTTTAGGTATCTTTTTACGAAGGAAAATCCTAAAAGATAAAAAGGCAACCAAAAAAAAATAGAGCAAATCGAAAATACAACTTAAAAGTACCAAATTTATAACCACATTAGCTGGTTGTTTTTGTTGTTTTTCATCATTTATTTGAACCACATCATATATAATAATCAAGATTGATTCCACAAAACTAACTGCTACAATAAAATGTTTAATCCATTCATAGTTTGATTGCCTTTTATAATAATAATTGTTTTCTTGGAGAAAAGAACCTGTTCTGGTTTTTTTGTTTTCTTTATCAGGTTTTTCAGAATCTTTGAGAAAAGTTACTGTTCTGTTGTTTTTGTTGTCTTCATCGAGTTTTTCAGAATTGCTTTCATCGGGGTTTTTGGAATCACAGTTTTGTTCACCCGATTTTTCAAAATAATATAACCACCAATCAACTATGGTCGCTTTGTGAAAATAACCAATAATAATACTTGTAAATATAAGAACAGCTAAAAAAAACAATATAAAAAGAGATAAACAAGTTGTAATAGATGCATTAAAGAAAACCCAAGCGAATTTTGTAGTAAAAAACCAAGAAAAGATAGGAGTTAAAAAAAAAGTGAAAATTAAAAAATCATCAAGAATACACGTCGTTGTTAACGTAAATTTAGAAGTTACACCATAATAAGCTATATTAAAAATTAAACCTGCAATAGAGGTAAAACTCGCTAATTGAGATAAAATAGAAGAATGCGAAACTTCATCATAATAAGTGCCATTACGACATTGAAGTACTGTTTCTCCATTTTCTTTTGGTACGGGAAATGGTTTATAAAATTTAGAATTCATGGAATTCTCTAAACTTTCAGTTGCAGGAACAATCCATATGAAAAGGAAAATAAAATATAAAATCATCAAAAAAATTGAGATTATTGGTAAGAAGGCTACTAGCGTTTTTATTAACTTCATGTTATCAAAATTAATCAGAAGATAAAAGTTATATACTTTTTATGAAAAATGTACGGTATGGAAAGTAAATTACTAACATAATGTACGTACGTACGTACGTACTTATATACTCTATTGAAGTTAATAACCTTAGGATATATTCTAACATTCTATCAATTCACGTATTATCTATTAAAATTTTTAAACTTCCCACGCCGTATGTATATTTACGAACTCTTAACATATTACAGTATTAATATGCATAATCTCTATGTATAGTAAGGTTGGCAAAAAGAGTATTTTAGGACTTTAGGATATTTTAGGATTTTAGGATTTTTTCGGATAGTTACTCCGAAAAATTGTCGCTTAATATTAATCACGTCCGAAAACCAAAACAAAACCCGAATTTTAGTTAATTCCGTATTTATTCCTAAATTTTAGAATATTTTTCAGGAATTTGGAGCATTCTAGAGTAAGCTCAAAAATTTTTAGTACGTCCGAAAACCAACTTTAACGTATAGAGGATTGAGGTTTTTAAATTTATAGCACCGTACATATGTACTTGATATATCTGATGTTGAAATTTTTGGTCTATAGTTTAGGAAATCTGCTGCCACATACGCATTTTAGGAGTGAAGTCGAGTTTTAATAAAAGTCATGATTAGATAGGCATTATTGGTTCAATTCAATGCAATGTACTGGTACGTACGTACGTACATACGCACGTATGCACGCATATACATAAAATTTCACATTTCAGTATAAATTGAAAACAGTTCTTGCTATTTCTATATCTATTCAAATATCATGCTATTAAAACTTGGTGTCGACTTTAAAAACCACAACTTAAATCAGTGTTGTTAACTGTCAACATCAATTTATTATATCATTTATTATATCGTTTATTACACTACGCAATATAAAATAAAATAATGTAGTTGCGATAATTACCAATGAAAAGACATTAACAACACTAATTTAAAAGATTTAAAAAATAACTAAACAGATCTGTTCAACATCCCTATTGCTTATCGTAAATTCTCGAAATAGCTGGCATTTGCGAATTATTTTGGATATCTGTGTTATTTCGAATACGCCGCCCATGGCGTTATTTTAAAAATTTTCACGCAAGCAAAACATGAGTAAAGGATTATGCGCGTTATTTAGAACATACTATTTTTAGGGGACTCGGTTTTCCATGTCTACTTTTCGAGGATTCACAATATGCATAATTTCTACTTAAGATTTAAGGTTTTCAGGTTCTCGTACCGCGTACAAAAAAAGAAATGTTTCTATGTAGATCGCAAGATCGAATAACCTTTTACGTTCTCATACGTAAAAACAAAATGTCTGATCAAATTTTACCATACGATGTTCCTTATCTCAACCCTAATTCTAACCCTAATGCTAGTCAAATTTTAGCGAAATTGCAGAATGTGCAATTTCATGAATAACATTTATGTGATTGGCCAATTTATGTCGATCTCCAAATTCTAAACGATCTAACAGTTAAACGAGACGCGAAGAAAATTTATTACCTACAAAATCGAACCTTATTTTTATTTCTCGTGCATTTAATACTGTAGTAATTCTATTCAATTCTATTTTATTCTATTTTTCAACTATTTTGCTTACACACACTACTACTGTATCTTTGATCTAGACTACTAATTAAACTGCACCAATACATTTAGATTGAGCATTTCTTTTCTGTTTGACAACAATACATACTTGGTTCATTAAAATGAGGTCTTGTTAAAGGTGTTTACATTGTTCAGTCTGTTAATAAACATATAAAATCTTATTATATTAGTTTAAAACTCCCGGTTTAACAATTCATGAATCAGTATTTTATTACTAATTTGAATATAGTGGAAATTAAATAAACTCTACCATCATTAACCATTTACCTTCGCTCTTATGAAAACTTCTGAGGAAAGAGGAAAGCGATTGAAAACGATTAGATGAGATTTTCTAATATGTATAGAAACTTTTAATAAAGAAATTTTATTAATAAACGTTGATGTTATTGGTTAGACTTATTAAGTTAAATGGATTGCAAAGTTCTCAATTTTTAGATTCTATATACAGTGTATAATGATTTTTCAACTGCACATATAAATAATTTGTGTAACAATACTTGTTTTCTATGTACGTACGTACGTAAGTTAGCCGAAAATATCGTTATCAACAATGCTGCATTACTGTATCAATATGGTAATTTTGAATGATAAAGCCTTTTTAGGTCTAGGACCCGTGCAAAAATTGGCGGTCCCCGTGATTAATCCAATAATGATGCTATCCTTATTTTCGTCTAAAAATTATGATATATCTAAATTTTTGTGCTGATAACTTTTAATTAATGATAGAAACATCAAACTTAAAGTTTTTTTTGCGGTTACTTGTTTGTTTTTTTTTTTATTTATTTAGTTTTATAACTTTAAATTTGTAAGTTACACATTGATCTTACAATCCGATTGGGTAAAAATCACGGGTCCACCAAATTTTTGCGCATCACTCTATTATCCTAGGGTCAGGGCCTAGTCTTAAGACCTAGGTCTATAGGTTCATAAAAGTTCTGTCACATGATTAATCTTTCCGTGGATCCGATTAGCTGGATACCGATCTCAAATGCTGCAATGGTAATATAGCAAAATAAGTTCTGGGACTTAGTCTTGACTAAACCTTGTCTAACCTAGGTTCTATGACTTTTTGCATGGGAACTTGATCTTAAAGTCTGTACGAATGGACTAAATATCTTAGGACCTGGACTGACTTTACTATCCCTAACGATAATAATGCCCTAATGGTAATAATGCTACGAATCCAGTTATTCGTATATATTCAGTTAGCATTTGTTCTAATTAACTGCAGATTCTAACACATATATTTAGAATCCTTCGATAAATTAACTTTCAAATACTTTAATTACCTATTTACATTTTTACTGCATGTTGCATCTGAAGTAGTTACTTAGATAGCTGAGGTAGCATCTGGATAAAATTAACCCCTTGAAATTAGATCTCAATGCATGCACTAAGTAATAATTTTATTCAGATGCTATTTCAGCTATCTAAAGTATTTTAAGTAGCTATTCCAGATGTACGGTAACTATATATACTATATATATTTTTAGATTGACCAGAAATAGTAGGTAAGTAATGGGTAGTGGAATATTTTATCGACAAATCGCATCGACGTTTTAAATTATAAAAAAATGTGATGCTACTCAGGTACTGCATCACTTGTTATTTTGCCTTCTCTATGTTCATAGGTGTCCCAACCTACAACCATTTCAATTTTCTCAAGATGTATATTCTGAAGTTACTAAATTTTCATATTGTCGTTATATTCGCAAAATTACAAAATAAAAAACTTCACGATCATTATATCGTCTTGAAGTTTACAAAAAAAAAACAGTTTATTGATTAAAATCTTATATCTATTTTCGTAAGGAAAATTTCATCAAAGAATCTTTATGAATATATTCGCTAGATTATTATTGTTGCGTCTTGTGCTGAAATTAGCTTATGCTAAAATTTGTGGTCCTTATTTAAACCTATAATATCTACTAAAATTCATATATACGCTTTTATTACCCAACGATAAAAAAAAGGCACCAAAAATTTTACAATTTCATAATAAGAATACGGCAAAATTTCAGCACAAGCTGTCACATTTATTAGAAAAGAACAAGTTTTAAAATAAATATATACATTTTTAATTCAGTAATTAGTAATTCCATATTTTTATTTTAATAATTTATAAATTGAACATTAAAATTATATATTAATAATAAATTTGCAATTAATTTAAATGCAAATATAAAGTGAATAATGAAATTTTAATTATAAGTGTAGTAAGTTTAAGGATACTAACAGAGACTTCAACAGAAGCAACAGGTTGGCTTGCTAATATAACATAATTAGCTTAATCATAAAATAAATTAATTTTATTTTATAAAATAAATACCTTTAAATTCATTTGATATTCTTGTGTATTGATAATTTTGCTAATACATAAAATCAAGATGTTTTGTTAAGACAATTGGTAATTCTTTTGCTATTTTATCTGCGTTTAAGAATTGCCTTTTAAAATACATCCTTTAAGTTTCAAATAAACATCATAAGCAGTAGGCCGTTTTTCTGGATCAGAATCCATGCATTGTTTAGCAAATTCAATATAGCAGTTCGGAGTCCCAGGTGAAAACTCAGGCAGATCCTTTACAAATTTCTATTGCACTAAATTCATAACCATCAAAAGGTCTTTGTCCAGTTGACATTGTTACGCAAAATAGTGTAACAAAGTTTATACTTTCGGCCGTGTAACCTTATAATAGTTTACTTTTACGATATTTCATAGTATTAGCTTATACTTTGCATCTTGCAGGATAGTCAATTTGAGTCTAATTCAAATATATATATAGAGCGATATTCTTGTAAGTAGGGGGAAATAGATTCTTAGGCTTTTAAAGTTTTTGTGATAGTACTCGGGTAGTACTTCTTGGGTTTGGAAGAAATAGAAGGTCTTGGTTACTTTTAGTGTCTTGCATATACATAATAAATATTTGGTTTATTCTCTTTAATGCTTACGACCCTAAGCTAAATTGGCAGTGCCGATATAAAGTCTCTCCCCTGGTCGTAATAGTGGCGTCGCCACCGGCGCAATGCATATGATAACTTAATGGTGCAGCAGTGGTGCACCACTTGCACCACCAACCCTAATTACGTGATACTAAGTCATTAAAATTTTGCCACCTTTTAGCCACATAGTAACACTTCAATAGACATTATGATAACAAACCCGAAATTATCTGTGCTTACATATTTAAAAATCATACCTTCTAGACGCGAAATTGTCATTATCGATTCTAAGATATTGCGGACATGAAATTGTCATTGATAATCATGGATATGATGCGATACTGCATGTAGAGATAAATCACAAGATTCTATTTTTAGATAAAATGCATTTGATTTTAACGTTGTTACCATCTACACATCCCTGATGGTTAACGGTGATAAAAGCTTGTAAAGGGTATGAGTGAAGAACTTCAAGACATCTCGTTATCCTCCCCTTTATTAAGGCCTCAAGGTCTTCCTTAAATACATGATTTGAATATTTATGCATTTACATTCGTACTACGTAGCAGATCTTGAATGAATGCTCTTTCATATGATTATCACCTACTAATGTACTGTACATCATAACAATGTTAAGGTTTGTGAATCGTTGCCCACTGTACGAAAAAATACCAAAAAAGTAAATGTTACACCAATCAGATAGGTCTGACTACAGATTATAATTTTTCTATAAACGTTTGATTATCCTCTAAATATAAATGTTCAATGATCTAGTTGCATCTTGTCTGGAAAAACTAATCAAAATCTTTGAATTCAAGAAGTAGATTGTATAATGAGTTGGTTGTATAATACACTTGCAAAAACTCCAATCTTTAGCAATCTAAACCATCTTGGAAGAGGCAAACATTACTTAAACGAAGCGCGAGAAGCGCGTGACCAAAAAAACCTTATATCTTCTTTTTCGGCGTACGATAAAGCTATTAAGAATCTCGAAAAAGCTTATAACAATCATTCTACTTATAGTGATATCGAGGAAATTCTAACACAGACACGCAAAGAATTTGAAGAGATTAAAAAAGAACTATATTTATTCGAAAGGAATCATCCACCAAATAGAGAGCCTGAGTGTGATAACTTTATCGGAAACAAATTTTTTCAAAACAATTATTGCATTCCAGAGAAAAATCTATCTCTAGATGAAGATAAGGACCCACGTAATACTCAGCAATTGGCTTGCGAGCTACACCGAAGAAATTTATCAAATGAACAAAAAAAGGAATTATGCAAATTGGCACTAGAAATTATCGAGAGATTTGCTAAAAGAGAATCTACAACTTTAGAATTAGTACATGAAGTAATGGCATTAGCACATTTGCCAGAAGAAGAAAGAGAACTTTACAAAAATTTAGTAAATATCTTCATTAAAAAAATTAAAAACTCAGATTTATTCTTTCCATCATTATTGGAGGGTTTATCTCATATTATCCGTCAAGCAAATCCAAACCATCGAGAAGCTGATGATTTGGTTGGCATTTTAGAAGTATTAAACGAAAAATTTAAAAATCTTCGTGCCCAAGATCAGAATCGACAGATTGAAATGCTGCGAATATTGGGGGGACTATTTGATGCGATGGCTGATTGTAAAGTACAAGATCTTGAATATGAAACATTATACAAACCCTTATATGATACTCTTAAAGAATTAAAAAGCAATAGTAATCATGAACTAGCTTATCACGCAAAGTATGCCTGCCAAGCCTTAATTTGCATACCAACTAATAAAAGTCCATGGAAGGAATTCCTGCAATTCGTTCAAGGAATAGCTAAACTTGCAGTTGCAGTTAGAAATATAGATCCTGGAAAGCTACCAGATGCCTTCAAAGAACTTAGTGAAGGGCTTGAAAGTATTAAAAATGTAATAGAAACTTTGGTAGATTTAGTTAAAGAGATTCAATCAGCCAAAGAGGCAAGTGATGATATAAAACAAATTATCAACTGGGAGATTCAGCATGAATGGTATCGAGCCTTACGATTTACTGATTTATTTATTCAAAGTCAGAAGTTTGCAAGCTTGGAGCAGTTTATTTACAAAATTCCATGTCGTAAAGACGACAAATTTTTATGGGGCTTATGCGAACGGCTTGGACGAATTGTAGCAGATTCTGAATTGAATATTGACATTCGCAAAGGTGCTATAAACTTTCTAAATAATATTCGTTTAAACAAAGACCATTGGGGGTATCATCCAGAATTAGATAAATGGAATAAATGGATCTTAGAACCTACAGAACTGAAAATTTCTGCTTCATCATTTCCGACTATCTTACTAGGTGAAATTTTAGTAGACAAACATGTGCGTCTCACTCAGCTGAATGACTTGAAAGAAAGCAGAAAAGAAATGCCAGATCAATTAAATGAATTAAAAAACCAATTTTTTTCAGATGTTGATAATGAATTTGAAGAAGCCATGGAACTGTATGTCAAACCACAGGGAACATGGAAAGTATCAATTATAAAACGATCTGATGGTAGTGAAGAAATGACTTCTGAAGACGTAGAGGGTGATGTAGAAGAAGTAGTCTATAGATTTTTCAAATCAAAGGATGAACTGAACTCAAATGACAAAGAAGCTTTGGAGGTAGCTATTAATAAGCTTTCAAATTCTAAGGATGTAACATCTATAATAGATGCAGTTAATAGCTGTTTTGCTATTGAAAATAAATTAACTTTGGAAGATGAAAGCATTCTGAAACAAGTAGCCAATCAATTTTTGGATTTAAAAGTTAATAAGGCATCAAAACTTCAAGAGATAATAACAAACAAATTTTTACATTCTTCAATGAATAAAGAATTACTAACAGAAGTGATCAATAATGTTTTGAAGGAAAATCCAATAATCTTAGAAGATGAGGATATAAAATTTCTAGAAAGAGAAGCAAATAAATATTCAAATTTAAATGATAAAAGTAATTTTGAAAGTGCGGTGAATAAGTTTCTAGCTTTTAAAGCTGAAAAAAAATTGAAAATTACTATTAATGGAATAGTGGCTTCAAAATGTAAAATGGTACTATTGATATTGGGTGTAGGGGGTACGGGTAAATCAACTTTTGGTCGCTATTTGGCTCGTCGCCTATGGCAAGAATATGGCCAGTTCAACACGTTGCAATCGCCTATCCCTTTATTTATACCATTAGCACGACTAAAAGAAGGAATGTTTAATAGTAATGAAGACTTTATTGAACTTTATTTAAAAGAAAAATGTAAATTATCTTCAGATAAAATTAATGCCTTACGGGAAAGAAAGTTTATAATTATTTTAGATGGTTATGATGAGATTGTTGAACGCGAAAGTAAATGCTACATCAAAAATCAATTTAATAAATGGAAAAATGCAAAAATTATTATTAGTTGTCGACCCGAGTATTTGGGTAAAGATTATCAAAGCAAATTCTTTCCCCAAAAAAATGGAGAAAAAGGATTTCA